TTTTTTAGCTGAACTAATCAGTAATACTGTTCACAGCTCATCATCGAATTTGAGCCTTCAAATGTTAAAATGATGACTCCTCAATTTAAGATATTTAAGGCTTTTTTCGGTCGCTTACCAAAAAGATATTATCCAGAAGAGCAGCTGTCACCCCCTCCCCTCTTTTCCACTTTTTAATTTCCAAACGCGAATGTTCTGGACACACATGAAGGATGAGCTGTGAACACTATTACTATTCCCGTTTCCGAGACTAAGGTATGATTGGTCAAAAAATGGCTTATCTATCCTATATATAGGGCTTTGCCCTTAAGTGGATGGATGCCCCTCTCCTGCATTTTTTCTATGGATCCCCCTAGGGTTGGGTACCCGTGGACTTGGTTCAACCAGTGAAACGTCTTGTAACTCTATTTTACTAAATTGATTTACCAAAATTGAAAATGAGTTCATCAATTGATCAACCTTATCTTACCCTATAGCTCAGTTCTTCTCATCCTCAATGAGGTCATTCCTCTATGGAAGATTTCTTTCAAATTTGGTCCTCCTAAAAATAAATTAGTGATTTTAAAACGTATTTCAATCGGATATAAAATTATGCTCCAGTTAGGTACTCCAATGTGTTCCTTGAGCCGAACTTCCCTTCACTACTTTCTGTGTATTCAGTTGTATTCAATTGCAGTCGGAGAGCACCTCGCTCAGTTAACAACAAATCCAGTTTGTTTGTGAGTACATTATTAACCATGCTGAAACCACACACTCCACCAAATACGTGGTAGGAAATGGCAACAGTAGATTCACCCCCCTGCCCACCCCAACCCCAAAGGTTGATGTAAGAGACCTAGATAAACCTATATCATACTCTTTAGTAAACTAGGGCAAGGTGCAACACTATAATCACTAAACAACCAGCTGTATCTTTACATTGATATACCCTTATCAGTCTTTCCACGCATCGACCATACATTTGTTGGAGAAATTATCAATTCGCAGTAAGTATTTTGGTCAAATTTTAAATTATGACGCTGTTTTACAATATTTTCCTAGTCCTGTGACAATGGACATGTTGCTTTTATTAGATCCTCATTCTTTCAATAGAAAATAGAACCGAGATGACCAATAAGTCTGATTTCTTCCAAATCGAGTTCTTAGGGAGTGCTTATTCCCGCATGTTATCATTTGTTGTTTTGTTTTTTAGGGGGGGGGGGGGGTGATTTAAGTCTTGAATATATGTAAATAATCTTCATAATTCGAAAAATTCTTTCAAAAATATACCAAACTAGGAATTTCTTTTCCTATTTCTAAAGATTTCTTTTCTATATTGTAGTGTTTCAAGGAGACAAGACTCGTCTTTTTAACTTTCAAAGCGGATTATTCTGGACACACATGGATTTGAAGGGTCAAATTTCGACGGTGGGCTGTGAATACTATTACTGATTAGCTTAGCTAAAAACAAAATTCGGCTCTGAGACGAGGTACGATTGGTCACAAAAATGCCGCATCTGTCCCTTGTACCTGTATCTTTATCCTCGATGTCATCAAAGATGTGCGACCATGATTGTATACGACTTTAAAAACGAATCAAAATGTTTTGATAAACTTTGTCAAACCGAAATATTTCAGTAATTTATATCATAACAAAGCTTGAAAATATTTCAAATTTTTTCATTCTTCAATGATCCAGAATAACTGCCTATTGTATATAAGTTTGTATGAGCCCGACCTTATCATTTTGAAAATTAAATAGGCTATTAGACCGTTCTAGCGCCGAACTAGATGCTTCAATTCGCTATTTTCGCTCTGCAGATTCTTTAATTTTGACTATATATTATGTAAATATCTATTGAGACCTCGAAGATTTATTGTGTGATATTTATTTATCTTTGTAGATTATGGAGAAGGAAAGGTTTCTATATTTTGGATATGCCAGTAACTTACTAAAGGAGCGTTTATTGGTTGATAAACCAGGCGCATATAAAAAATTTATTTGCGTCGGGAAATTAAAGGTAGGTTAATTTTTTTAAGGAGATGTCTCAGATAGAATCATCGCTAATTCACAAATTTATCTAATCTCTGATTGCCAGTGACTCGACTAACATAGGGATTGCTTGAGCAGTCCATAAGCCTGTACCCCTAAGGAGGACCCATGCCAGAAAAAATTCACGGGCTCCCATGCATCTAGTTGAGTCGCTGCTGATGCACTGTGTTACATATACATCATTAGGGAACTGTCTGTTTGAAGATTTTAAAGATGGGTACCGGTATTTCAAACTACAAATTCGAAACTCGTCGTAAAACCACACCAATAAATTAACTACAGCATGCATTGAAACGCTATTTTGACACAGAGCGTTCATGACGTTGAATACCGAGTGGCAAAACACCATAGACCTTCTGACTAGATACTGGAGAATGAAACTGAATCTTCAACAGGACTTATAGTCTTTACTTGGGAACAGAAATACCCTTACCCCACCCCTCGATCTAGCATATGATTATATTCGGCGTATAAAAGCTGGCAATGAGAATATTAGTTTGCTGATTGTATAACGTTGTCCATCGAGGCTCGCCTTATATTTGGTCGGATGAAAAACACCATTACCATTTAATTTTGTTTTCTCCAGAATTATAAGTTAACATTTGATAGAATTTGGCCACTACCCGGT